CCGCGATCCTCAGATCTCAGCCTCCTGAGTAGCTAGGATTACAGGCGTGAGCCACCAGCGCCTGGCTAGCTAATATTGTTAATGCTAACTCAGACATACTTTATGAATGCTAGGGATTTCAACATGAATGCAAGAGTATGACAGTCTTGTCAGGGACACAGAAATGTTAAACATAAAACAAAACAATCGGAAGTGGCGCTGTGGCTCAAGTGGTAGAGCGCTCGCCTTGAGCTGAAGAGCAGAGGGACAGCACCCAGGACCAGAGTTCAGCTCCCATGACTGACCAAAAAACCAAAACCAAAACAAAACAATCCTGAAACCTAAGCTGGCTTTCACCTTTATTCCTGGCTACCCAGGAGGCTGAGTCAGCCTGGGCAGACAAATCTGAGATTCTTATCACCAATTAACCAACAAAATGCTGGAACTGTAGACATGGCAAAAATAATAGAACACTGTGAGCAGAAAAAGTAAATCTAGAGTGTGATACCCTGAGTCAAGCCCCAGTTCAGCCACTGCTTAAAAACTTAAGAAACTTAAGAAATTTAAGAAACTTAAGAAACTTAGCTACTCAGGAGACTGAGATCTGAGGATCATGGTTCAAAGCCAGCTGGGGCAGGAAAGTCCATGAGACTCTTATCTCCAATTAACGACCAAAAAACCAGAAGTGGCGCTGTGGCTCAAGTGGTAGAGTGCTGGCCTTGAGCAAAAGAAGCATGGGGACAGTGCCCAGGCCCTGAGTTCAAGCCCCAGGACTGGCCAAAAAATAAAAAGGTAATCTCCAGAGGAGCATCCCCCCATGGCCATCGCCCCCCACCCCCCAAAAAAAGTTGAGATTAGGGTAGTAGATGCCAGAGGAGGAGGAGGTTGAGGACAGGTTGATCAGTGGGTATAAAGTTCTGGTGTCTTACACAGTAGGTCCTATTATACAGCATTATGACTAGTAGACAATGTACTACTATTTCAAAAAGCTAGAAGAAATGGATTTAAATGTGTTTACTATAAACACATTTAACACTTGAACAGATGCATTAAACCTGATTTAAACATTACATAATACATACATGTATCAAAATATCACATAATTTTTGTATTTTCATATACCAATTAAAACCAAAGAAGAGCCTGAACAGTTTCTGCGTAGAGACTCACTACTCTTAATCCATTGTATGAAAGTAACCTCTGCGATACCGGCACCTCACCCCTTTGAGAACGGGCTTTGGGCCAGACACCAGTGACTCACACCTATAATCTTAGCTACTCAGGAAGCTGAGATAAGAGAATCACAGTCCAAAGCGGACAATCTACAAGCCTTTTATCACACCCAATTAACCTGCAAGAAGTGGAGGTGTGGCTCAAAGGGCAGAGCACCTGCTATCAGTGAAAAAGCAAAGAGAGTGCCAGGTTCTGAGTTCAAGGAAAAGGGCTTTCCTAGCTCAGATGCAACCAATAATGCAAGAAGTCCTCTAAGCAACTCGAAGCCTTTTGCCACGCAACTTCTTATTTGAGGAATGGGATGTGTTGGGGTTTGAACGCAGGGCTGTGTGCTCTACTATTCGAGCCACACTCTCACAGCCCACAATTCAACTTCTGTGCTATGACAGCAGAGAGCATCTGTTCACTCCTGTGGAGCACACGTTTAAAGGAAACAGAAACCTAAGAGCAATATGGAAGCGGAATGGACGTCAGGAAAGAGATACACTGACATAAGCTAGAAACAAGCACAGGAAGCTCAGGCATCCCGACAATGAAGTGATCGTCAGGCCAGAGAAAGACAGGGTGAGAGAAAATGGTCTCTGCTCAATGCAACCCACGCTATGCTGAGGAAGAAGCCTGCGACTGCAACACGACACTTACTTGTCAAGATCTAGAGAAGTCCGCACAGCTGTCCCGCTGCTACTCTTCTTCCTGGCTTCTTTTTGTCTCCGAGTCAACACTGAAAAGAAAACATTGTTAGTTGACAATGCCTAAAACCCCATTCGGTGGGGAAGAAAGTCCATGGTCTTTGAAGTGTCAACTTTTCCCATACTGAAGACAACACCTGCACTGTGTGTACCAAGACTGCCTTTCTGCAAAACAATGAGATTTAACGCCCTCATTCACTCCATGAAAGGTTTTTATGTGCTATACCAACGAGCAGAAATCATGAGATTTAGGGGGATTTAGTAGAGAGAGAGAGAGAGAGAGAGAGAGAGAGAGAGTGTGTGTTGTGTATCAACACTGGAATATTGGGAGCTTGAACTCATTTGCCTGGGCGCTGTCCCTGAGCTTTATTTTGCTCAGGGCTGGCACTCTACCACCTGAGCCACAATTCCACTTCTGGCTTTTTGGATAAGAGTCTTACAAACTTTCCTGCCCAGGCTGGCTTTGAACCCCAATTCTTAGATCTCAGTCTCCTGAAGAACTAGGATGACAGGTGTGAGCCACCGGTGTCTGGCTGGGAGTTATTCTTTCCCAGTCAGAATTTGGTCTGGTATGATACACAGCCAATAAGGCACTCCATGAAACATAGTAATGACCGTTCTAGCTCAGTATCTACCAAAGTCTAATATTTACAAAACTCTGCAGTATGTTCCGCTTATAAACATGGAACCTGCTTCTCCAAACAGTTACACAACCAGCCTCTACCACTACATTAAGACCTCTTCCCTACTTCCGGGATGTATAAATGCTTTGGCCCCCGATGATCTATAAATACTTTGTTTCACACCGAAAGATACTTGTTTATAAAAGCATACCATCTTAAGTGGTCTTGACCATCAATCAAGTGTTTTTCTGTCTTTATTTTTTGCTATAAAAACACTGACAATTTTATTTTTTGCCAATCCTGGGGCTTGAACTCAGGGCCTGGGCACTGTCCCTGACCTTCTTTTGCTCAAGGCTAGGGCTCTACAACTTGAGCCACAATGCCACTTCCAGCTTTTCTGAGTGGTTTACTGGAGATAAGAGTCTCACAGACTTTCCTACACAGGCTGGCTTTGAACTGTGATCCTCAGATCTCAGCCTCCAGGGTAGCTAGGATTATAGGCATGAGCCACCAGTGCCCAGCAGGTGTTAATTCTTTATCCAGTGTGTCACATGATAAACATGTGACGCTGAGTAGGCTGTGTGGTCTCTACCACAACTACTCTGCACTGCAGGAGAAAACCAGCCACAGACAATATAAACCCCTGAGTACACCTGTGTTCCAATCAAAGTTTACTTATAATAACTTGTATCTGACTGGATTTGGCCCAGGACTGGCTGCAGTGTGCCAACCCTTTGCATCCCGCCTTCCATAAATACTGCTGGGAAGCAATAGTATGGGCTCCTTTGGACTGCTAGGGGAATTCGCCTCCTCCAAGGGAAATGCCTTCTGTTGCTACGCTGCAATCTGGCTCAATTTGCATTTACTGGGAGCCATACTAATAATGTGTATTTGCCTCTGGGAGTATGACATGGAAGACCTGGAAAAGGAAGAAAGCACGGTTTTCCACTGTGCCCTTTTGTGAGTGCATGCCAGTACTAGTAATCTGAACTCGGGGTCTCACATTCTCACTAGGCTTTGTCACTCATGGCTAGTTCTCTACCATTTGAGCCAGGCCTCCACTTCCAACTGTTTGTTGGTTAATTGGAGATAAGCATCTTGAATTTGTCTACCTAGGTTGGCTTCAAAACAAGATCCTTGGGGCTGGGAAGGTGGCTCAGTGGCATAGTGCTTGCCTTGCATGCATGAGGCCCTTGGTTGGATTCCTCAGTACCACATAAGCAGAAAAAGCCGGAAGTGGGGCTGAGGCTCAAGTGGTAGAGCGCTAGTCTACAGCCAAAGAGCTGAGGGACAGCGCCCAGGCCCAGAGTTCAGGCCCCACCACCAACAAAAAACAACAACAAGATCCTTACATCTCAGCCTCCTAAGTAGCAAGGATTCTAGGCATGAGTCAACAGTGCCTGGCCACTATATACTTCTTTGTAATGTTGAGTTAAAAAAATTTTTTAAAGGGCTGGAGAAGGTAGATAGGTAGCTGCAGTGATTCATGCCTATAATCTTCTAGTCCAGAGGTACAGTTAGGAGGACCATCTTTTGAGGACAGCTGAGCAAAAAGTTAGTAAGATCCTATCTCAACAAACAAGCTAGAAGTGGTGGGTGGCATATGTGTGTAATTTTAGGTTAAGCAGCAAACATAGGAAGATTGTGGTCTGAGGCTAGCCTGAGACCCTATGTGAAAAATAGCCCAATCCCAAAGGAGTAGGGAAGGGGTGGTGTGGCTCAAGTAGTCAAACAGTTACCCAGCAAGCACAAGACTCTCAGGCCCAACCAGATACTACTAAAACAAGAGCAGGGGGGAGGGAAGGTAGAACTACATTACAAATATCCAGGCACCAGTTAGAAACTGAACACCTATTTCTAAGCTTCTGCCCAAGTCAGATTTTATAAAAAAAAATTAAAGTACTACAGGAGAAAATCGTCCAGGACACAGCTACAGACCCAGCTTCCAATCTATCAATCTACAACTTACATTTCTTCATCTTATGAATGGTGATTTCATGAGAAATTTAATCAAGTGCTTTGTTGAAATCAATTAAAGGGTCAGTGCCTCAAGATTACTGATTCCTTTAAGTTTTCTTTTCCCCCTCTCCTATTGGTCCCTCATATTGACTAACAAGCATAAAAATAAAGAGGAAAAAAAAACAATTTGGAAACCACTCCACAGACAGAGCTGGAAAAGGAATTACTTGCTTCCAGCACTTTATGTCCAGCTCTACTGAACTTAGTACATTTTTGCTCTTAACCATTTATGTCATTCTCCTTGCTATACCATGCAAATTCTGAATTCAGAAGTTTAAAAAAAAATCTGATCAGTGTTCTCAGCAGAGTTCAGCACGGATATTAATAAAAATCTGGATGATTAAATTCTATATTGGTAGCCAGATGCCAGTAGCTCACTGTAATCCTAGCTACTCAGGAGACTGAGAACTGAAGATCACAGTTTGAGGCCAGTCTGGGCAGAAAAGTCCTCTTGAGACTCTTATCTCCAGTTAACTACTCAAAACAAAACCCAAAACCGGAAGTGGTGCTGTGGCTCAAAGTGGTAGAGTACTGGTCTTGAGCAAAAGAACTTAGGGACAATACCCAGGCTCTGAGTTCAAGGCCCAGGTCCATAACAGAAAAAAAAGTCTCTATTTGATAAGCCAGGCATAATGGTACATGACCGTGATCCCACCACTTGGGAGGCTGAAGCAAAATGGATAGTAAAATTTAAGCTAGCCTGGACCACATAACAGGACCCTGTCTCAAAAAAATAAAAAATTAAAAAATGCACTAAAGTCCCTGCAAAGCTCTCATCAAAAGATAGGCTCAAGACAGGCGCTGGTGGCTGACACCTGTAATCCTAGCTACTCAGGAGGCTTAGATCTGAGGATCCCAGTTCAACACCAGCTGTGGCAGGAAAGTTTATGATATTCTTTTTTTTTGGGGGGGTATCCGGTTGTGGGGCTTGAACTCAGGGCCTGGGCGCTATCCCTCAGCTCTTCAGCTCAAGGCGAGTGCTCTACCACTTGAGCCACAGCACCACTTCCAGCCTTTTTTTCCCCTGCTTATGTGGTGCTGAGGAATGGAACCCAGGGCCTCATGCGTGCAAGGCAAGCACTCTACCACTGAGCCACCTTCTCAGCCCAGTCTGTGAGACTCTTATCCCCAATGAACCACCAGAAAACTGGGAAGTGGCGCTGTGGCTCAAGTGGTGGAGCACTCGCCTTGAGCTGAAGAGCAGAGGTACAGCGCCCAGGCCCAGAGTTCAAGCCCCGTGACCAAGTCCCTGCAAAGCACATATCATTATCTGTATTTTATAGATGATGAAATATTAACCTGACCAAGGTCACAAAGCCAAACAAACCCAACGCAAGGAAGGCAATCCATGTCTGACTGCAAGGAGTGTGCCTTTTTCTACAAGAGCAGACCGTCTCTCCCGGGAAGGCAAAGGATGGGAAGAGAGAAAGAGGTAAACGTGAGTGAGTAGGCAGGTAAAAGTATCTGAGGGACACCTCAGATGGCCAGGACTAAAAGGCACTTGAAAGCTAGGAGACACAACTACAATCAAGCAACACTACCTCAGCTGTGTGGACTCCATCCACCAGCAATACAAGTAGGACGGTGGCTTAGCAATGTCATGATGCATCCAAAAATAAAGAGTGTAGTCTACTGATAAACAGCACTGGCTCTGGAGTCAGAATGCACCCAACCTGTGCTACTACTACCTGTGTAACCTCTGAATATCAGTTTATCTTAAAAAAAAAAAAAAGGTCATATGGGAAACCACAAATAAAGTTGTACAAGCCACAGCACCACTTCCGGCTTTTTTCTTTTTGCTTATGTGGTGCTGGGAATCGAACCCAGGGCCTCAGGCATGCAAGGCAAGCACTGTACCACTGAGCCACCTTCCCAGACCCTATTTCATAACTTTATTCGAGGGCTTAAAAGCCATGCTTGAAACCAGAGCCTATCTGTGTACAATTTTGGTCTGTTTTAAATGGTTTCCACACTAAATTCTACACAGGATGGACAAGTAAATAGCCAAAGCATTACAGAATAGTTCTTAATACCATATAAACATCAGCACATTTGCTTTCAAAATTCAAAGATAAGCAGTCAAAAATAAACCGTATGGCTGAGTACTACTGTCTGCAGTCAAGACAAGGGCTCCTGGAGGAGAGTGGAAATTGCACAAAGAAAAGCGATTTCACAGAATGACAGTGGTTAAGTCTCCTCAGGTTGTCTTCCCCAGACTCGAAGCCCTCATTCAGTACACATGTTTGAGAGAGCAGGAAGCACAGAACTTCCTCCTGACCCCAGCACCTCATGCTGCCTGCCTGGGGCGGAGACTAAAACTACCAAAGAACTAACTCGTTCCCTCTGAAATACATGGCTACTTAAAGTTTAAATCTTAATTACAATTAGGT